TGTGCCATACACCCTAACACTGTGCCCATTAAGTGGGAGCACACCCATCCCTCTCCCTCCTCACCTCTCCCTGCTCTCTCCTTTCTCCTCCCCCCACCTTGAATTGATTTGATTTTTTTCTTATGTGGGAATGTATTAGATCATTTGCTGGCTTCATAGAATAATAATACATCTTAAAATTGATGTATAGGAAATAGTTATATCAGATCCTGGGGAAAATCCCTGGCATAGATGAAAGAGGTCATGAGTTCAAAAATGGGGAATAATTTACAAAGTTGTGGGAGGTAAACGGACATGAACAGTAGATATGCAGTGTCACAGAGCTGGTGACCATCTGACAGGCAGGGAGAGGAGTTAAGACCAAAATTGGGAGAGAGGCGGTAGGAGATGGCAGGCTGCCAGGAGCTGCCATCTTTGGTAAGGACAGAAAATAAATACCCCGACCTCTGTCTCCTGGTTCCCTCTGAGCTTGAGCCGATGCCATGTCTACTACTATGTGAACCCACCAAGAACCAGAGGTCAAGGAATCCCGGAGTGCTGTCTACAGAGACCACCCTCCTGGGACACGGAATGGCATATCGCGTCCGCGTGGGCCTGGAGGGGCAAAGGGACTTCCAATGAGCCTGGAGCCAGCACTCTGACGTGCTTCTCTGTGTGCCAACCACAGCTGTGCGTTTAGCCTCCCTCACCCCCAGGCCAAGGCAGATGACAAGGTGGATGGGGAGCCTTGAGCTCTGTTGCTGTTTGAGGAGGCCCAATACTTCTCCACAGTCTGTGGCCTGTGGCCCCCCCACCCCTTGTGTGATGTGGCTGGGTCCAGCCTCTGGCAGCCCTCCCTGCATCCTCTGTCCCCCCCCAGCACCTGCTTTGCAGTGTGGAATGCTGTAAGGAGAAACAAAGCGGCTGCTACAGCTGAAACTTGGCTCAGGATGGCAGATATCAACTCACATGCCTGATGATAGATGGACAGCAGGAACTGGATAGTGGCGTGTTTGTAGCTTAGAGGGTGAGTTGTGCATATCTAACTTGGCCCAAAAGCCTGCCTGCCCGGTTGGCTGGTCGGACACTGTCTCTTCTGATTTAGAGCTCTGAATCTGCCAACTTGATTTTTGAAGCTCACCCTTTGGTTTGCCAAATCTGCAGCAGATCTGGGCTTCGGGATCTGCACACGTCAGAGCTGGGTCATCATTCCCAATCACCCCTCCATGTGCTAATGAGAAAACAGACCTAGGGAGGGAAGGTGCTGGCCCCAGGCCACAGCCAACGGGGGAGAACAGACCCCCTGGGACATACAGTCTCTTGCCTGTGTTTGGTGTTTAGCTTGGCCTTAAAGCTGTGGGATCTTGAACAAGTCACCTAAACTTCCTACCCTCAGTTTCCAACTCTGCAAACTGGGGTGATAACACCTACCTCACAGGATGGTTGTGCAAATCAAATGAGCGATGAGCCAGGGGCAATTTCACAGTACCTGGAGCCCGTTCATGTCCATGACCCTAATGAGCTAGGCCAGAGGATGCCCTCAGAGCTTGTTGAGTGGCTGAATGAGCATGAGAAGGGATTCCTAGACTGTAAAGCATGGTGACCATGCTACCTGTCATGCTGATCAGTCCTCTGTGAGTCTACAGAGGACCTCCTCGGTAAAGGCTGTCCTGTCTGTTCTCCTCAGAAGCAAATCCAGCCCTTTTACTGATGGGATTTAAAGCAGATAATGATGGTTTGAACAAGAACTACCCAGCTGTCAGCTACAGTGGCCTGTGTCCATCCAGCCTGGACACTTAATGCCAGCCTCGCAGTTAAGGCCACAGCCTACAGTCAGTGCAGAGAATGAGTCCCTTGGGGCTTCAGGGACCATGTGGGCTGGACACAGCCCAGTAGTATCTCTGCTCTGCAGCAGAGGCCCATGGGAAAGTTTCAGCTCCTAGGGCTGTTCTGAGAGGGGCTGAGAGAGGCTACCTGTGGGCTCCACAGAGACAAATGATTCCAGCAGGGAGAACTTAGAAGTTGGACAGGACCTCAGAATGGCTTGTTCTGCCACTTACACAGAAAGAAACAGGAGGCCAAAGAACAGAGGGGCTTGCCATTGACAGGTTAGCCTAGAACCAAAGTTCATTGACTTCCTGATTCAAAGCTTTTCCCATTCTTTCAAGTCACATAAGGTGAGAGGGTCCTAGTGCCAGAAAGTGGACATTCTAGGTGTTCTGTGTCATGGACTGCCCAGCACGGCAGATGCTTTGCAAGACTCTATTACACTCAAGTCTATAGGGATGGCAGCAACTGGAGCAGTGCCTAACCTGTGCAATTGTACACAGCAGCCCTGGCTAGATTCCACATGCCGAGGCATGTCCAGAAAAGGCCCATGCGCAGTATATACATGTGCCCAGGTCCTTGTAAGCTGATGTTTTTCTTAAGGAATGGGGATACTCCCACTTACACCATTCCAGAAAGTCCACACTGGAAGAGCTTTTTGAAGTCAGCTCATGTGGTCTTTCCTTTCCTTTCCTTCCTTCCTTCTTTTTTTAAAAGATAGAGTCTCACTTTGTCACCCTGGGTAGAGTGCCATGGCATCATAGCTCACAGCTACCTCAAACTTTTGGGCTCAAATGATTCTCTTGTCTCAGCCTCCTAAGTAGCTGGGACTACAGGTGCCCACCACAACACCCAGCTATTTTTTAGAGATGGGGTCTTACTCTGGCTCAGGCTGATCTCAAACTTGTTAGCTCAAGCAATCCACCTGTCTCGGCGTCCCAGAGTGCTAGGATTACAGGCGTGAGCCACCATGCCCAGCTAATGTGGACTCTTTCTATGACATAAAAAAGGAAACTAAGGCTAAGTGAAGAGAAGGGACTTATCCATAATCACACATTTAATTGGTCCCAAATACTCTTCAGCAATTCCCCTGAAGGCCCCACTATGGCCCTGAAAGTTTCCACCTGCCTGTGGTTTCGCGTGCAGCAGGGCCACTGTCATCCCACACTCCTGGCTGCATTTCCACCCGTCACCCTCTCCTCCCCATCCATCCTGCACACCACTGCCAAGGGAATTCTTCCAAAACACCAACATCTTAACCTTTCACCTGCTCCTCTTGCCAATCCCTCCCCTCCCTGCTGTTTCAGATTCCTCTTCTTAAGGGGCCATCCTGGAGCTTGGTCACCCCAGTGCAAGCTGTCATTGCCTCTTGCACCCTGTCCCCTCTCCTGCCCTTCCCAGCACCCCAGATTCCCAGCCAGCCTGGCTTCCACATAGTTCTTGACCTATCTGCTCCTGCCCCATAGATCTTGAACCTTGAATGTCGCAGGCATCTGGCATTGCTTCCCATCTCCGTAGTCCCCCCCTTTGCTCTACCCGTTCTCTCCCTCCAGCTTCTCCTGGGTGCCAGCAGTAGCCACTCTCTGGCCTCCTTGCCCCCAGTTCCTGCCCTTACAGAGCTGAAAAGCGTTCAAAGGGCCTTGTGGGTTTCTGTGTCAAATCCAAACTGCTTCATATGTCACAGGACGCCCTTCCAGTCCCGGGCCCTGCAAAATCTCCCCACTGTTGCTTGTCTTATCCAATCTTATCCAAACGTGTATCATTGTCACAAGTGTCTGTAGACTCTGTCCCTTCCTGCACACTGTTCACGTTCCCCAGAACACTCTTTCTCCTTGACTTGCTCTTTACCTCCTACCCTGCAAGGCTCTGCTCAAACCCCCCCTTCTCTGACAGGTATTTCTAAAACCGCCAGGAGGATCTCAATATCCGAAGCTCCCATTGTCCCAAGGCAATTGTAGGTGGACACCTGCTGGTGGGCTGGACCCAGCTCTTGGTGTGGTTGCTCTAACTGCATGCCAAAACATTTTAGAAAGCCTGTCATATGCATGAGAGTGATGTTTGTATAGGAATAACCTGACATCCACTTTCATTTGTCAGGTGAATCACGGACACACTGCCTTCCCATGTGCCCCATGGTGGACAGCAGCAGCCAGTGGTGCCATACCTGGGTACAATAGGTTATGCGGTATTTTAACTGATTGCATGTCCACCTCCAGTCAGACTAGGAGCCCCAGTGTGTGACTGTCATAGTGACATATCCTCTGCCCTCTGGGTGGAGGCAGCTGTGGTGGCTGGCAGTCACTTTGGGCTGGGTCAACGGCTCATGTCACTTTCTCCTCCTGGGATAGTGATGGCAAGGGAGGGACTGGCCTTTCCACAGATTAGCCCACTCCAGACCTTCTGTGTCTGACCCTCCGGGATGTCCCAGGGCTATGTATACTAATTAAGCTGCCAGGGGACTCAGGATCTGACTAAGAAATTTAGGGTCACCATTCCCACAGGGCTTCACATCCATGATCGTTATAACTCTGCGAAGCAGGTGGCTATCAGCACACCTATTCACAGGCGAGTTAGGGGAGGCTCAGGGATAGGAGGGGACTGGCTCTAGGTTGTACAGTCAGGACATGTGGCATCTGAAAAGACACATCCAGACCCACTGTGTTCCTGCTCCTGCACCCCTGAGATTTTAAGACCTGAGTTTTTATGGTGCACTGATTATATTTATAATGGTTGGGGGAGGTGGGGCACCACCTTCATCAAGCTCTCCCTAGCACCTCGCAGCCCCTGGACATGGAGCTGGCTGCTGGGATCTTGAAGCCACAGTTGGCAGCGCGGGGCCATCTGGTGGCGTCTATGGGAACTCCTGGAAGGTACACAAAAGGCCATAACAGACCCAAGCAGTGTGCCCTCGGCCCCTAATCTGTGTGCAGGAGGCAAAGACCACTCCATATATTGGGGTGGCAGGACAGCTAAACAGAGGCACCAACGCCCACTTTGGGAGTCTGCTCATTTTGACTCAGGTTTAGAAAATCTAGTGTCTCTGAGTCGGGTCTGGTTTAGTTCCAGGCGAGTTAGGGTTCTCCTGGGCCTCAGGTTCCCGTCTGTTAGTGGAGAGGCTGGATTAGACCTCTAGGGACCCGCTTAGGTCTGACGATCTTTTGTGTCATGAATAAGGACAACTGATGACACTGCAGGGCAGCTAAACAAATTCTTTTTTTGGGTCTCAGCTTCAGGATTTGGGGAGAGATCCCAGACCTCTCTAACTTGGAAATGTGCTTCATCCACTTCATGGGGAAAGGAAAAAAAGGGTGAGAGGGCCGATATGAGCCCTCTTCTCCTCCTAGACTCTTTCACTCGCCAGGCGTTTTCAAAGATGTTCAAATTAAAGCATAATTGAAAAATGAGGCTGTAACTCCGGGATCAGGGTGGCAGGGCCCGGGGCAGATGACTTAATCAGGCGTCCTAATGTCATTACCTTCGTATTAATAACAGGCCCAGCAGCCGCAGAGAGAGGGCCCTTCCCTGGGACTCGGACACTTTCCAGCTGACAGGGCTTTTCTTCTTCTGTTTTCCATTGCAGACAAATGCCACTCAGGTTCCTTCTCCATTCCAGAGAGTTCCCTGGAGTGCGATAAACACATGGGTGCAGATGGATTTTCTCTTCCTCTTCCTGAAAGCCTTGAGCAGGACAAAGCCACACAGCACTGTCCCTTGGAAAGAAGGGATGGTTTATGCTCAGCAAGGCTCTCTCCGCCTCCCCAGGCCTGGAGATCCCACAGCTCCCCTGGGAAGGCAGCCCTTCCCTTCTCTCCTCCTTCCCTCCCCACTCTCCAGGGGATTCTCTCTTCTCCCTCTCCCCCTCAGTCATCCCGTCCTCTCCCCTCCCCTTCACTTTACCAAAAACACACAGGACTGTAGCACCTTTGGGCCCAAGACAGCAAAGTGTGAGGGGCCACTCTGGGCTCTGTCCTCTCCCAGATGAATGCTGGTGTCCTGGGACTCTGGTCTGACCTTTGGCCTCATTTTCATTTTGACAAATTTGACAAACACAGAAAAGTCCAGAATGGAAAATGACCACATTTCATGTCCCCTGACTATGAATTAACTACTGTTAATAGGGGGCATTAATATATATTCATATGTGGCATTTCTGCTTCCAGAAATTTTTTAAAGGAAACATCACTCTTATTATTGAAAAGGACACATGCTCATTTTAAGGAAGTCAAACAACAAGGAAAGTAAAAAGGGAGAATCGCCACCGCTGATACCCACTGCCTGGAATTTGCCGCTGTTGGTATTTTGCCATGTTTGATCCTAGTCATTTTGCTATGTGTGTATTTTAAGAAATGAGGCAAATAGTGCATAAATATATTCTTATAAAAAATTAGAACCCTCAGGTATAGAGTCTGCTTTGTCTGCCACCTTTATTCCAGTGAGCCCGAAGAAACCACTGTTGTCGCCTGGTGGCCTGTCTTTGGGGCCAATTAAGCACCTTCACATGCTCTTACAAAGTCGTAGAAAACGCAGGGCGTGGTTTTGTTTCTATCCTGCTGCACTGAGCGTTTTCAGGTTGCTTTGCTCCCTCCTCCCATTTTGAACTCTATTCCCACGGACCCTCCTGCCTTCATCCTCCGCCCCCCCCTCCCCTTTGATTTCCTCCCCTCCCCCTGCTTTCCTCCTCTCTTGCTCTTTCCCCCATGGCCTGTCCACTTTCCTGGGCCTTTGTTACTGACCACATGTCCATCTGCTACTGCCCAGGCCCCCCCTCGGAGCTCCGTTGGTTCTTACCTGCTTCTACTATTGCTTCATACTATGAGGCAATTACTTATTTGCTCTTTTCCCCTAAGTGCAATTACCTTTCTATTGGCACCTAGCCCAGTGGAATTCAATAAATGTTTGCTAATGAATGTGAATTGAGCCACGGTCAAACTCAGTTTTGCTTACACACCTCCAGAGACAGGGTGTTCACTCCTTAGGATCAGGGAGAAGCAGTGGGCTTCCCCACTGGGACCACAGTGGCTCCCTGTGGCAGAGTCAGGGATCTCTAGCAAGGGTGTGCTGCCAGCTTGGCACACATAATGTGGGCCAATGGAAAGGGAAGGCACACGAGAGTGAGAAGACTTGGGTAGTGAGTTGAATTGTGTCTCCCCAAAGCTATGTGGAAGTCCTGATTCCCAGTACCTGTGATTAGGGCCTTATCTGGAAATAGGGTCTTTGCAGATATAATCAACTTAAGCTGAGATCAATCTATATTAGGGTAGGCCCTAAAATCTTTATAAGAGAAAGGAGAGGGACAGTTGGATACAGAGACCGGGAGAAGACACATGGGACAAGGCCACGTGAAGACAGAGGCAGAGACTGGTGCGATGCTGCTACAATCCAAGGAATTTCTGGTGACCCCCAGAAGCTCCAGAGAGGAACCCCTAAACCCCTAGTTCCTTCAGAGGGACCATGGCTCTGCCAATACCTGGATTTTAGACTCTGGCCTCCAAAGCTGTGAGAGAATAAACTTTTATTGTTTTAAGCCACCGGTTTGTCCTATGTTGTTATGGGAGGCCTAGGAACGAAATTCAGCTGTTATGCAGCAAAAACTAACAGATACACCCCTTGATTTGTTACATGGTCTTGTGACCTGACAGGGTCCAGTGAGGCTGCGAGGGCTGCTCACTGAACTCTGTCTCCTCTGCTTCCTGGGCAGGCGGCCAAGCTCAGCATGCCGTATGAGAGGGCAGCTTAGTGGAGTGGGAGCTGAGGTGGCTTATGCCATTGCGGGGCTGAGACCAAAACAAAGTGGATGAATCATCTGCTTGTGCCTCTCTTTCTTTCCACCTCTGATTGCAAATGACAACAGGGCCCTAGGGTAGGGAGAAATAAACTTGGGCAGGTGGGTTCTTATATTTTTTAAATGGAAAGGAAAGAAGGAAGAGAAGGAGAGGGGAGGGAGGGAGGATGTAAGAAGGAAGGAGGGAGGGAGGGAGGGAGGAAGGAAGGAAGGAGGGAAGAAGGAAGGGAAGAAGGAAGGAAGGAAGGAAATTAAAGAAAGAGAAGACGATGTGACAAGAGACCCTCAAAGCTGAAAATATTTACTATTTTGACCTCTACAGAAAATGTTTGCAGAGTTCTGCCCCCAGCTGGGTTCTGCCCTTAGCTGGTAGTGGAACCACAAGAAGGAAGGAGACAGAATCTTTAAACCACAACATGGAGAAATGACCAGGAGCATCCACTGTGGATAGTATATGAGAATGGAATGCAACTTTATAATTTGAGCTCTTATGAGATAATTTTGGAGTCTATTTGTTATTGCAGCTTAGCTTTACCTAATGAATACAGAGACACAGCGAGATTTTCACTTAGAATTTTTACCTCTGAGACCTAAAAGGCTGAGATGAGGCAGGAACAGAGCTGGTGCCCCATCATGTTACCAGTGAATCCTGGGACTTAAACCTACAGAGAAAAGGCATGTTGAAAGAGAGAGCAAATTGGTCTTCATGACACTGCTTGAACCCTGGAGCCAGCCATACCTGCAGCTGACCCTACATTTTCAGCTTATAAGAGCAAATAAAGTTTCCCTGTTATGTAAGATGGTTTGAGACTGATTCTATTACATGCACCCATAAAGATTTCTCACCTAGCTGGGTATTAAGAGAGCAATAACTTTAAATCTCTGTCATTCATTCAGAAAAAGAATAAATCATTCACAAGCTTTGGTGTTTTAAGTACTAGCAGTTCAATGAACTGGTGCCACAATTCCTTAACCAATAGAAATCCAAGGGGGCGTTTAAAGGCTGTGGCTTAGAGCAGCTGCTCTGGAAACATGGCTGTAGCTTCAGGCTGCGAGATGAGAGCTGGGGATACCAGTTAAAAGCCTGTCTTTACTCAGCTGATAAAAATGGGGAGCTCATTTTCAGACTGATGTGGACTCATCACTAAAATAAATTAAGTGGGAAAAGCCAGCACAGAGCCATGGTGCACAAGGTGGACGGAGTCAGAGAATGTCTGCACTATAGCTGGGAGCTGCTCAGACCATCTCTGGCAGGAGCCACCAGGAACTGAAAACAGTGGCTGCTTCTATGAGGAGACTTAGAGGCTGGGGTTGGGGAAGGGATGACACTCTCTGTTCTTATGCATCTGTAGGGGAATGGAGCTAGGGAAAATGATACTGTAATTCTCCCCATCCATGGAGGCAATGGGGGCCCCAGTGGCAGAGGGAGGGCCAAGTTCTGGAATCTGAGACTCACTGTCTACAACCCAGAAGCCACGAATGACCCTCCCAGAAGCTGACCAGTGCTGCCCACTTCTTGGGCCTCCTTCTTGTCAGTCGTATCCTTGATGCCAGGGTCAGAGAGGCCAGGACTTCTCACTAAGTCATTGATAAAGATGCTGAAAATCATTGCAGTGACTCATAACACATGATGGACGTGCCCTGCAGCCCCAGCGGGGCCTCTGGGATATGTTGCTGCTCTCTTGTGGCCTCCGCTCAGGAGGCTCAGTGATGCTGAGGGTGGTCAGTGGATGGGCTGCCTTTGCCTTTATGTCTAGGCCTGTTCCTGGGTGCGTCCTCTGGGCGGCATCTCCTTTGGAGCTTTTGTAAAGAGAGGTCTGCAGGCCCTGTCTGGGGAGGCAGCGGCTTATGTGCTCTCCATTTCCTGCATCTCCTGGGGGGTGCATGGCTGAGCCACCTGTACCCATTCCAGCCCATGCCTGGACAGCCTCTGGGGCCCATGGGCAACCTTCTGAAAATGGGGGGGCCAGCTCCTGGAAGAAAGCTGGGTCTGAGGGGTGCAGCCTGGCAGGCAAGTGCTGGGTTCCTGACAGACCACAACAGGGCCACAGGAAAAGGCCAAATGTCTGGGCCAGGCTGGTTGCAGGAAACAGGATTTGTAAGGAGGGTGGGGCACAGCCTTCCTGCCTGCCTTAGCCTCCACCCAGGCATTTCCTTCTTTTATTCTTTTTGAGACAGAGTCTTATTATGTCACCCTCGGTAGAGTGGCATCACAGCTCACAGCAACCTCAAACTCCTGGGCTTAAGTGATTCTCTTGCCTCAGCCTCCCGAGTAGCTGGGACTACTGGTGCCCGCCACAACGTCCAGCTATTTTTTGGTTGCACTTGTCATTGTTGTTTAGCAGGCCTAGGCCGGGCTCGAACACGCCAGCTTTGATATATGTGGCTAGCGCCCTACTCACTGAGCGATGGGTGCCAAGCCAGGCGTTTCCTTCCATCTCCAGTGGGCCTTTCCCCTCCAGAACCACTGCTGTCTCTGTCTCTCAAAGCCTACCATCCCGTGCCCTGCCCTGCACCAACCCCAGATTCTCTCCTAATGTGTCTCAGACACTAGTGTGGTATCTTCCATGGGGACCCATACCCTTGCTACCCTTGAACTTGGAATCCTACACAGGCTGAACTAGAAGAAGGCAAGTAAGAGTGAAAAGCCTAAACCACCCCTTCTCCTGGAGATTGAGTTCTTTAAATGGGCAAGTCCCCAGGCCTCTGGCTTCTCCTGCAGGGTTGCCTCAGTAGAAGCGACTCCCCCAGGCCCACTTCATCTGGCTGTCAGGTGGGACTGAACCCATCTGACATCCGGAGTGACTAGCTGACACTCAGGCTGCCCACCCTCTACCTTCACCATGTTAAATGCCAGGGTATACAGCAGGTGCTCAGCAAGTTTGAGCTGCTGTTAATAAACTACACTCTAACACCTAATGAGTGCTGAGGGCCAGACTCATTGCACAAGTGCTTATGTGGCCACACTCAGCTGACCTCTAAGTTCTGAGCCAAGCTCATCCTCGCAGAGCACCAGGAGGAAGGGCTCTGCTCCACTGGCTGGGTGGCCCTGGACCAGGCCCCCAGCAGAGGCTCAGGAAGACTTTAAGAAACATGTAGTCAGGAAAAGACAATCTTTGGCTAGTATTGTGGTGCTGATGCTCAGACTTGGGTTAGTGCTCAGACACCTGAGTCTAAAC